TGAACTACAATAAGGGATCCAGATATCAGAGTAGAGGTGTTTGTTAATGTGAAGAAGAAGTTGTATACAGATTGTGCATTTACTCTAACTTTTATTAAGCCATACCCCTCCTATTTTCTAAGCTAAAACAAAAGTATACCATGTTCTAATTACTATATAATTCTTATTTCATAAATTTTTTTCTAAAAATCAACTATTTAGTGTCAACTGTAATAGGATCATTGTGCCCAAATTTAATACTAAACAAGGAATTTTCACATGATACATATAAAGATTTTTTACAATCACCATGTAGAGGTCCCTTTATAATATAACTTTAAAGTTGATCAAAGATATTTCATGGTCACTTTATATAATTGATTTTTAAGGTGATGTTAAAGAGATACAATGGCTCAAAACTATAGGTAAAATAGCACATTTTTTTAGCCATAGTTTAAATTTATAACTTCCAATCAGGTTACATAGAGACGTATTTCACACCGTAGCTGCAGGTATGCCATGTAACTCGGGTCTTGAAAAATCCCCACACCAATTAGAATAAAGGTTTTATAAAAAAAAAAAAAATTTCAAGCTCAATTCTTCAAAATATTTTAGCATACAAATTTGTATGCTAAACCTGACGGTTTGAGGGATAAAATCAATTAATAATGTCACACCAAACATATAATATCTATCTGCCGAATGATATAGCAGGTTGCCAATTTTTTATCCAAAAATTATTTCAACAGATTTTGATAAATCAAATTCTGTTTGACTTTCGGGTTCGGTAAATCTGAAAACGTATGCGCCATCTTATTGGCGATCAATTTGTTACGTATTTATGATTATCGTGACATTATCAAATTTTTGTAAATAACCCAATTTTTTCTTTAAAGTCTCACATTTAGTATACAGATTTATCAATTAAAGAAGATAAATACATCTTATACCGTTTTTATTCCACCCTATTACTATCTACCTTAGCTATCTTATACCATAACTCTACGTTATACAAGATATAATTATAATAAAATAAACAGAAAAAATTGTTTGAAAAAGTATAATTTCGAAATCAACATGTTATAACAAGTCTGTGACCTAAACAGATTCTGTCTGTTCAGACAGTTTAGACGGATTAAAATCCCTGTTTTTACCATCTTTATATATATTTTCTTCAACAGGATTCCGAGCGTATTCTAACACTAATAAATTTAAATATAAGTTACAAATTAACAAATTTGAAAAATAGACATAAATGTAACAATGAATGCTTACGCGGAGGTTGTTTATGTTTATAATGATAAACATATTGACAATAGATAGTACTAATGAACGAACACAACATTATGAGAAAGAGGGGGGATAACAATAAAACTAAATTTTATAAAAATAAAATAACTAGTTAATCTTTGATGCAGCATAAAATATATTATTTGCTTAAGCATCACTCAATATAGATCCATTGAATCTGCAACTTTGAATATAGCAAAGGCAGTTTTGAGAAAAGTTCAACTTAAATGATGACGTAATTATTTAAATTACTAACTTGTAAATCCAAAATTAATCCAAAGTTCCATGTTATATATATAAAATGCGACTAAAGCTAAGTTAGCCACGTAAAATACCGCTGCGCAAGAATTTGAACGAATCTATAATAATAAAATTATCAAATTATCAAGATCAACCAACATTAAATATACGCATGTAATATAAATAAATACCACTCTTATCATTGTATATGAAATTAATGGTGGAATCACAAAGTACCATGGAAAATACATGGTAGGCGGAATAAATTCGTCGGAATTAAATGATAGGTCTATACCTACAATTGCAAGTTGAAACCAAACATATCCAAGAAAGGAGCTATGAATAGCTTGTGCATGAGCAAAAGTTTGTTGCCATTTGAACCTTGAAGCTATTTGTGATTTATCGGAATCTAGTAATAATTTTAATGACAAATAAATATTATTCGATTTTTCATAAATCAAAGAAATTACAAATTAATTTCTTTTTATGTAATTTAAAATCAAACCTTTGCAATATCTGTAAATGTAAATTTTATTAAATTTCGGTGCTTTAGTAATTAAAAAAAAAAGTTCACTCACCTTACACAACTAATAGAAAAACTCGTAATCAACAGAAGCGAAAGATAGATCGAAGTACCAATAAATAGTGTATATAAAATAACATAATAAGTTGATACATAAATAAATAAAATACACGAAAAAATGAATGTATCTGGGAAGCACACATTATTAACCTATATATAAATAAATAACATTTAGAGTAAAATTTTGAGTTTATATAATATTGAAATAAAAAAACTTACTACAATCCGTAAAGAAATGAAATGTACTACTGCATAATGAATACAAAAAACATAAATTGCAATATTTGGAGTACTCATTAAATTTACATGACTTTGTATTATATTGGTAGCTTCGAAAGCAATTGCAATAATAAGTAAAACAACAGAGCAACATGCTACAAACCGAAAAAATGTCATATAACACGGATCCTGGACTAGCTTATCACGCAGATTTTTGAGCTTAATACATAGCACATCAAATAGTTCTTTGAATGCCTTATGACACATTTTATTACCTTTACTATCTTTACTATTCATAATTTAATAATGGCAATGAAATGAAAAAGTAAGAGTACAGACTTGATAAGAATTAATTGTTTTTTATCGGTTTTATTTGTTAGTCATGAAAATTCAGTATTACAACATTGTTTGTAGTTCATTTCTATATTTGTATATTATACTGAAATTATTTTAGGAATAAATAAGAAAAGATAAGGTTGTACGACTGAAAATGAGATAATTGTAATAATTATTCGAAGAAAAGAAATACAAAATTCGATAAAAAGGAATGTTCATTATCGAAGCAATTTAAACAAATAAATTAAAAATTAGCTTCAATATTTGTATTTGACAATAAAAATTAAATTCTCAATAAAGTGAAACTTTTTCATATAGGATTCTTACTGTCACGGGCTAGAATGATATCATAGTCAATCAAGTTTATAATTTAGAGCCGAAGGCTTAGACAATCTGCGATATATCTCGGCCGATAGAAATTAA